CATTTGTTGTACAGTGTGAAAATATGTGTTAGTGACATTTGAAGGGATCGTACACTATTTGGTCTGGTCTGGTGTGCCTGCTATATGGAGGAACTTCAATAGGGTTGATGCTGTCTTGCCCAACAGCAGAATGTAGCAAACCAGCAAGAGACAAAACAGGCTGCCAGTTGCCCGGCTGGCAGTCCTGAAAACAATTTGGGGATGCACAGGTGGGAGGCCAAGGTAACACGGTAAATTCCATCAACATGCTAATAAACGTTTTATTGCATACCTTAACTTGACTTGATAACTGGTTCCCTGTGCTTCTTCGCTATGCAATTCAAAGGCTGGTGGGATGGTCAGCAGGCTGCTGTACATAGTTTCCTGAAAACATCACAGCACCCTGCCTTTCAGCCTAGATGCGAGCAGTGGGCTGGCTCCTGGGAAGAATTATGCGAATGTCAAAATGCATTCAGGGACATGTCAGTCTAGAGGAGTGGTTGTTCTAGTCTAGTCCGAATTTCCATTCAGACCACCATAGGCAATGCCCACGTATGATGCGGAGCCTCTATTGTTGAAAAAACTGCAATGTAATGAATGAAAAGGGCAAACCAGGAGATGGAGCTAAATGATGCTGGACATCCTCCAGACAGAAAATAAGGTGGGCACTATCTGATTTGCTGCAGCTTCTAATTCACACTAAGAAGCTCACAGTGGGCGAAAATCAAAGTATTATTAAGTACAGAAGATGATCCTGTACAAATGAGCAAGAATGTAGAGAAGGCTGGAGTTCAGCTTTAAAAAGATGATAATGATGTGGGAGGCCCATACGTCTGTATGTACATCTGAATCATTTGGACTTTTGAATTTGAAATAAAACATGAAACCAAGCACATTTCCTCTAGCTGGTGAAATAAGAGACTTAAAGTGTGTGCAATGTTGTAGAATTCTCTAAACAACTTTGCAATCACCCAACGGAGAGATCACATTCTTCCATGTGAGAAGGTAATAAATGGAGTTCAATAGGTTCTGAGTTATAAGAAAATTATTTCCTGTTGCTTTTTTTTCACTTCAGGGTGCACAAAGTACACTGGTTGCTGACACAGGCAAAGCTTTTTGTTTTGAGCATGTCACTACATATTTGTATGCTACAGTAATGTACGCCAAAGCGCCACATATTGTATTCATTCCCCTATTGCCAAAATTGCCATTAAATTTAGGAAAAAAAAGTGTCAGGCAAACACTTACCCCCATAGTTCTCCTTTTAAGAGTGCTGCTATACTGATGCATTACAGAATAAATCTCCAATACTATTGCACAGTTCTGACCACACCGCAAGGGTTAAGTGCTGGATTGTCCAACATAGAAACAATTTAGGAACTCACCGCAACTGATCTTGCAAATATAGGTCAGAACTGTTGAATAGTATTGGAGATATATTCTGTAATTCACCAGTATAGCAGGCCTCCTAAAAGGAGAACTATGGGGTAACCTTTTTAACCTATAGTTTTCAGGGTCATGGGAGGGCATCCTCCTGTGACCCAAAACTCAGTATATAGCTGATATTGCCCACTATATACTGAGACCGCTGCAGCCGGGACGGATCCCGACAATACTGTCAAGATCCACCCCGCTGGCTGATTAATAGCGGGCTCTGACTATCTGGAGGCAGAGTCAGCTGTGCCTGTCCCTGACAGACACCACTCTCTGCAGAGATGATCGGGAAGTGAGTGAGCGGCGTTATGTTTCCGCTCACTTCCCAAATCAATAGAATCAATAGAGTCGTTTCAATGTCACACGTCGGCTCTAACTATGGGGAGGAGTGTAATTTACTCACCCCATAGTTCTCCTTTAACATACTTATCCAAGGGGAAAAAGAGCACATGGCCAAGTGGATTTAGAAAATAAGTTTTACCCAGTGCAGAGAGTGATCAGGTGTTCATTCATGGAGCTCATCCCACTCCTTAGGTATTCAGTCTGCAAATCCAAAAGAGACACACTCTGATGCCATAACTTCAATAAAAATAATTTTGACTCCAACCAGACACCGCTCAGTCCCTCTCAAGGCCTGCTCTGTTCTAACATGTTTCACCCCAAACAGACAACCATAGAGGTGATCTAGGATTCAGCAGGATGTTGGTGAAACATGATAGAGCTGAGCAGATCTTGAGAGGGACTGAGCGGTATCTGGTTGGAATCAAGTTGTTTTTATTGGAGTTATGGAATCAGTGTGTGGCTCTTGGGATTTTAAAAATAATTGCTCCTTGTTCAGACTGATGCCTCCAGTGTGGCATCTTCCACCATTGTCACTAAGGAAACCCACCCTGTGAAATGACATGAAGCCACTGCTTGGATCGCATTCTTTTCATTTTTCATCAACATACGGCAATGAAAAGATATTTAGCATGTGATACTGGGCTACAACAAAGAGTACAGTCAAGTGTCAGAAAGTGCTTTTTAGTTAAGAAGTCCTCTAAGAAGTCATCTTTTCATGAATAAGTTCAACTCAAGTATGTACTTTTCTGTGTTTACAGAACTTTGCGCCAACTTGTTTCACAAGATCTGCATCGCTTGCAGAGACAGCTAAATATATCAGTAATCACGTTTAAATAAAGAGTATGACTGAGCTAGAGAAGTATTCTATGTCCGTTTTAACACCTCACCATGATCCTCACTTCTCTAAGCCAGTGTTTCTCAACCTTTTTTCAGTCATGGCACCCTAAAAAATCTGCAACCTTGAGGCACCCCAGTCTAAAACATAAAAAAAAAAAAAAATGTAAAAAAATAAGGTGTTGCCCCTTAAAAATCCATAGCAGGTCCTTATCCCAGATGAGGTCTGGTATGGATTTACAGTGAGAACCCACGGGGGGAAAAAAAACAAAACACAAAAATATGAGGTTCTCCCATTACATCAGAGTCCTCCCTTTAAATCAGGAGCCCCCACCTTTACATCAGAGCCTTCCTTTAATATTAGGAGTCTCAGCAAGGCAGAAGTTGAGAGGCAAAGCAGGACTGGATGGAGGATAACTTTTTTTAATGGATCCCACCCTTCCTGGATTAGCGTCATTTGTTTCCATGGTGCTCGCAAAAATTTAATGGCACCCCCGGGGAAGCCAGAAGGCACCCTGGTTGAGTACGGCTGCTCTAATCCTTGCAGTCAGCTATTTGTCAGTCATCCTTCAGAACTCACTTGCTTTCTAAAGATGGCCATACACCTTACAATTATCTGCAGATTTTTTGTGGTCAGATGGAAAAGGTGCAACAGATTCCTCCATCTACACTTAACTGTGTGGATGGAGTAAACTCCACCACCTGGGCCAATCTGTTGCATTTATTCCATCTGACCACAGAAAATCTGCAGATAATTGTAAGGTGTATGGGCACCTTCAGACATTGTTCATGAGGAAGTCTCAGGCTGGGCACACACCTTACAACCATCGCAAGACTTTTGTCTTTGGATGGTGTAAGGTACTTAAAAAAACGTACGATCTGCCTATCTTGCATAGGCAGATCATACTTGCGATGATCGCAAGCCACGCCCCATGATGGGCAGGCTTCCGATGACCACAATGCCGAATGGGCAGTGTGCGCTTGCGCACACCAGCCCGTCCGGCTTTTATATTATGAACATGCTACACACCCGCCGAACATCGTACGATGCTCGGCGGGTTTTCAAACATGTTCGTAAGTTTAAAGTCGTGCGACCTTACGGTAGTAGATGTCGCACCGCTTCCACACACCTTACGATAATCGTACGACCTTCAGAAACATCTGTGAGGTGGGTTAGTAGCAAATTTGAAAAAATAAAGAATAATAGGATTTATTATTATGCCTGAAAAGTATTATTGAGGAAAATAGGTAATCAACATGTGTGGAAACAAAACTACAGAGGAGACATGGGCAG